GTTTTATTTCATGCCCTACTTTTTAACTCTTATTAAAGTTCTTACACATTCTTAATGTATATTACCTTGTTGTATTTTATGCATTAATACAAATTACTTTAATTTATTTTGATAATGAAGTGGAGTTTAGATAAATATATAGATGGATAAATATAGATATACAACTGCCTAAATAATATCCACATATTATTCAGCATAAAAAATAATCTTGGGCTATAAATTACAAAGTGTCACAAAGTCTCACACAATATTTGTTTTATGTAAGTAAAGAGAGGATACAGAAGATACAGTCTCAAGGAAATGTATAAATTAACTAGAATTTAAGCTTTCAAGTACACTGAACTCGCCCTGTTACTGCCTAGAACAGTGCTTGGTATGTAAGGTGACTTCAGTGAGTATTTGTCGAACAAACACATAAATTAAGTCACTGAACATATTGTAGTATTTTCATGTGTACAGCAATTGTCTAGGCACTTAGGGGAATACAAGATTTATAATGAACTTAGATCCTCTCTCTGGNCCTAGGAGTTGTTGCTTAAAGGGTGGTTTATAGACAGGCAATATCAGCATCTTCTTGGATCTTGCTAGGGATAACAAATCTCAACCTCTACTGAATCAAAACCTGTATGTTAACAAGATTGCCAAGTGATAAGCATGTGCATTAAATTTTGAGAAGCATTGTTTTAATTTCAAATTTGACAGCACATTGGAATCATCTGAGGGATTTTTTAAAAGTACAGACGCCTGTATAGTACACCAGGATGCCTTCTGAATATTGCAAGCTCCTAAAAACTGCCCACATGATTTTTCTGTGCAGCAAAGTCTGAGAACCACTGCTCTAGAGGACATGATTTGAGGTGAGGTTGAGCAGAAATTTCTCTCAAATTCTCTTCTTCCAATCTTCTGGTCTGTCACCTTGTCTAACATTCCACTAATAGATATTCACTGATGCATGTTAATAAGAATACTCTCAAATACAAATCGTCATAGGAGGATGTGCATTGTTTTATCAGTCACTCACATCTTGATGTTAACATAATTTAATTAGACTCTGAGATTACAATGATGGAAAAAATGAGTTTTAACAGGGGTTGAGAGAATGGAAGGAACCAACAATTTAGAATATGTAGGTGCTTCTTGTCACAGGCTGAGATGGATAAAAACTTGGGGTGTTGATGGTGGGCAGGGGTGAGGTGTGATTGGTTATCTCTTGTTCAACCAAGGGGTAGAGTGGCACATTTGAGTAGCTGGACAAGGGAAACTAAACAGTGAGAACGTATTAGATTCCTCTTAAGAAATGAACATGGAAATAATTGATGAGGAATTAGGAAATTATAATTAATTACACTGAGATTAGATATATGGAAGAAGATGTTAAGTGATGAAGTAGCCATTAGAGACTAGTAAAGGATACTGCATTCATTATTACAGATGAATTCTTTTTGTAAGCTCACTGAGCTCCAGAATCTTTTCATATATTTCAGATGCTCCATAACATTTTAGTTATTGATATCCTAGCAACATTACACATATTGACTTGTTCCTTATTTAAGCCAGGTAAATTCTAGAAGTATAATTGAGTAAATGAATGTACTAAGTATCCTTCCAGTACGTATCTTGTCTGCATACATAGGTGTAGGATTGATTTATTTTTTTCCCTTTAGTGTTCTCATATTTAATGGATCATCTTGAGACAGAAGCCAAGTTGTGATTAATGACAACTGAGGGTCACATAACTAAATTATAGTCCGGGCCCTCAATACTCACCAGCATCAATCTTCCACAGTACATGCAATCTCATAAACAACTGTAAAAGTTAAACAATGTGTGCACTTTGTGCACTTTTCTTTGAAAGAGTTCTTATGAATCTTGTATCTTAATGAATAAATATCAGCAATGACAAAGTCAACTAATTTAAACTATTGCTTTTATTATAATTACACGGGAGCACAAATAAATAAGCACAAAAGTATTGCAAAATATTGCCAATGCACTAAAGAAAACAACTTGTTTTCAAACAACGTCTGGTTACTTCAGTAGTATCAAAGTACATTTATAATTACATGTTACCTAAAAAAATCAAGTACAAAAATTAAGAGACATTAAAACATCAGTGTTTATATTATAATATATAGAGAAGTGGCTAATAACACATGAGTAGAGAAATCTGTTATCTAATGCTTATCTGCACAATTTTCCAGGCACATAACTGACATTTCTAATGAGTCATGAAAAATGCAATATGACATTCAGATTTTTAAATGCGGTAAACATGTTATATTGGAAAGGATGTTAAATGGTTTTCTTTAAAAACCCTGTCTTTTAAAAAATGTAGTGCCATTATCCACTAAAAAACATGTTACTTTATATCATTTTCTCATAGCTATGTTTCAATTGTTTGAAAAGAGCAAGAAAGTAAACATACAATTGCTAAATACGTAAACACATTTTTAGTGCAAGATAACAAGACCTGTGACTTTACTGTGCTTTGTTTTTTGTAATCACAGTGCACTTTACACAAATTGCTACACTATAAGTGTTAACTTAAGGAGTTCCAAACAAAAGAGGTGCATACTAAACAGTTTCATATATATTATATACAGTATATATACTGTATGCGGGTGTATATACGTGTAAATGTAGATGCTTTTAGGCTGGGCAAACCCAGTTATATTTGGGAACAATTGAACACTTCAAAAGAATTTTCATATATGTTTGATGAGATAAAACCAACAATATTTCTTTAACAATGTTTCCTCTTATATTTGAAACTTTATACTTTTTAAAGGGAAATAAAATCAGACATTTTCTTTCCCCAATTGCACACATTTTGCTATGATGTAATTGACCCAAATATCAAAGGGTTTTAAATCATCCAAACCCGAAGCCATAATGTTCAAGTCCAACATGGCAAAACATATTATCTTTTTACTGATTTACATAGACAGCAGTATATCATATGTATACATATAGAGGCTTACACATAAACATTTTTATACTTAAACATTAAATTTGTATGTTTTAGTATTTTATTTGACTATACACTTGGTCTGAAAAAAGAGAATGTCATATAGAAACACATAAGAGATGTCAAACACGTGAAATTACATATTTTCTTAAAAACAATTGGCTTTGTTTTAAAAATAGTAATGATTGCATAATTAAGCTCCTTGAAGGCAGGGACATCTTTTTAATGTTTAATGCCAAGTGCTTCAGAATTTTTTAAAAAGTTACATAAATTGCCCAATAATTAACTGTTAAATAAATAATGGATTAATAATAAATCTTCCACATTCTACAATTAACTATCTACTTTCCCATACAGGGAAGATGTAGTAAGATAATTTTAAATACCATAGGTACCATTTTCCTTTTATTTCAAGTTTGGGACACAGTGAATTATGAATTGCTATTCTATTCTACTTCTGTTTCTTTGCAAGGGTGAATTATCTCTCATCTCTCATCTCACTGCTTAAATCATAGAAATATTTTCTTAATTTTATACATAAGCATAGTTATTTTAAAGGCTCTTTTCTACTTTAGGAACCTGACTCACCTTAACATGTAAGTGAAATTAAAATTGCATTTGTATGTGCATTGTTTTGATGTCTTATTTAATTCGTTAAAACAATCACCCAATAGGATTGTTCAGTTTAATTGAATTGGTCACTAAAGTCACTTAACAGTATCAAACCAAATTCTATATGTAGACAAGAGCTATGCCAAATTTTAGTAAGAAAAACATTTCTTTATTCTCTAGAAGCATTCAAAGAAAAACTTGTCATTATATTGAAATAGTGTCATTATTTAGAAAAGTAAAATTGTTCCCAGTTGTATATAGACAATTGCCATGTATTTGAATGTGCATATTCTTTAAAACTCAAATTTTAATATCTTAATGTTTTGTTTTACTTTCCTAATTATTTTATGAGTGGACATTAACCTTTATTTACACAAATCCATCAGTTTTCACTCCAAATTTGCTTCAGTAGTATAAACGTGGAGGAAATGTTGGCAGAGTTTATGTCAAGGGCTACCGTTAAACCTCAGAAGATGCTGGCTTCTGAGATTGGAAAAAAAATGCAGGATTTTATCTTTACTTTCCATCAAAAAAATTTGTTTCTTCTCTGCTAAGAAGTATTTCACATATAAAAGCATCTTACTGACAGCCAAAACAATTCTGTTTCTATAAAATTTGCTGTGAAAAGATCATTTTTAATAGGTAAGAGCTATTTCAACCTGATAACCATGCCATGATATGATTTGTTCTTTGGAACTGCTAGAAATAATCAGCTTTATCATGGCACAGTGTTCTGGCTGTAGGTTACCTTCTGACCAAATACATATATTCAACTGTCCCAAATGATTACTGCCAGAGAGTCTGCTTATTTTCCCCTCTATACTAATGACCTTTTTTTCTCCACATAGAGAACCACTATACAAAGAGAAAATTGATTATAGAATGGCTATTGCCACAATGGACAATTGGATAGGCACAGAGTAGCATTTCTTAAGTCAAATCTCAGTGAAGTCACTTTTCCAGATCTTTCAATTACTTCCCAATTAAGGAGAGATTTGGAGAAATAAATGGAAATGGTTGCCTAAGGTCTGATTTTCAAACAAATTACCCCCTCAGAAAAAAAAAATGCATTTGAAAAAGGAGCACAGAAAACCTGGCAATAGCATAAGTTTGACAGAACAAATGGGAATGGCTGAATCGAAAACAAATCATTTTAGTACCTCTGTTTTCTTCTTGATGTGGCCAGCATTAAAAAATGTCTTCTGCCTAATTCAGAGAGATCAACATCTGAAAAACACACTTGCATCTCCCTACAGAAAGATGTTACCTAAATATAAATTGCAAAGGAGGGATAATCATTACCATACTGAGCCTGAATATACATGTGCCAAGACCGTAAAGATGCTGAGAATTGATGTCTTGTGTCTGATTGATTGACTGGGGTATATGTGTTAGTAATAACTTAAATCAGGATAACAACTTGGGTCATAAACACATTTTATTTCATTTCTGACTTAATCTTATATTTTTGTCACTCTTAGATTTGTGCTCCATTGATTGCAGGTTTTAAAACACAATCTATATAGCTGGTGAAACATGGTGGCAGAGTTTATTTAAGCTACTTAAGATCCTTCCATCATTTCTTGGACTTGTGTTTCTGCTTTTTTTTTTACCACCTCTATTACATAAGCAAAACTTAAAACTTCCGTAAACATTTTATGTATACAATTATCCCACTGAGTACTCATTCACATGTACACACACACACACACACACACAACATACACATGCTCCCACTTACCTTTTTCCTTATTTTTTCAGAATTCTAATTGGACGTTAAAATATACATTAATTATAAAACATTAAAAAATTATAACATTTTAAAGCCTTTTGAAAGGAACTGTTACTGATAAACCATTACTACATTTTTATCAATATAGATTACAAAAATTCCCTAACTCCCATTATATTTGGTCTTATTGAACAGCACTGGACTGTTGCTGTCAATACCCTTAAAAGGAAAACCACTATGACAATAACTTCAAAGACACACTTTTTCTCTCAGAAATATAATACTAAATTGATTGTTAATGAACCACATACTGTCAATTTTAGGAAGCATAAATAGTAATTTAAATATACAAAATATATGTGATAGTTTCCTTTTTATTCATCCTTGGCAATATTTATATTCAACTAACAAGTTACTCTTAAAAGATATATATATATATAATATTTTTTAACTTAAATTTCACCACCACATAAAATTGAATCCACCCTATCTCCCATCCCCTGCATTTCTTATTTCTTCCTTGAAACAAAATAAAATAAATAGTTGGTCATAATTCTTTGGTCATGGTGTCATAATCAGTAAGAATGGGTGTGATGAAGATTATGACCCAAAAATGTGGTGATAACTGGTTCAAAAAATTAACGAGAAATACTTTATCATTAATGAACTTAAATTTTGAGAAAGATTGGCATTTAGTGTACTAAAATATGTAAATAGTTGAATGTTTGTTTCTCAGTTTCTAGGGGAAACAAGCACACACATGAAACATTACTTAAAAATAGTGATTGCGGTGGCTACAGTGCCACTGGTCCCACCTTACTGAGAGCAGTCACGCTCTTCAGTTTTTGATTCCTTGTTCCTTCTTTTGTCACAGTGAACCCTGGTCTCCTCCAGTCAGATCAATGATGCAAGGACACATGTCCCTAAAGTCATTTCTCAAGGAAATGTTTTCTGTTGGGATGTCCAAATATATCCTAATAGCTTTCTCTGGAGTCTGACTAAACATTGCTTAGTATAAACAAGAGGATATTGAAGAGAAATTCTTATAAAGCCAATGTAGCAAAAATATTGGTGTCAATGTCATGAGGACATCCAAATTAAGCATCACATTTGCATTCATTTGCTGCCAAACCCTTAAAAACATTAAAAAGCAACAGGTGCTCTTAACGAACATGATATTCAACTTTCTACATTACTAGCACCAGATCATATATTATGTGATTGAACATGACTTATAGCTGTGAGCTCTTGTACAGAAGCCAAATGTCGGCAGGGGGAAAAATAACACTTTAAATGCAAAAATTAATAATAAAAGGCCTCAAGGGATTACATATAAAAGAGATAACAAACCAGTTAATACCGAAACTATATCATATAGTAAATTCTTGATATTTCTGTAATTTCTATACGTATAATGTGTACTATTTCATGTGTCACCCATAAACTAGTAAAATATTTACATTTTAATATCTTCTGGATTCAAAATAATCCGGGATAAATAAGTGTGCCTTAATTGCAAGGACATATACATTTTATCTTGAGCTTGCCACAAGTAAGCATGGCTTCTTGCGGCATTCCACTCCAACAAAGAAGATATGTAACAGTTAATTATCACATGACCAAGTCGACCTCCCTCTTTGTATTAAAGAATGCGGAGCTCACGCCATCCTGTACACAATCATATGGCAGTATCCCAGAATACCGTTTGTTGTTTAGAATAGGGTGGAGGGCTGTACTTCTTTGCACCTGCGTTCTTCTTCCAGCTGGGCAGGATAGGCATGCTATCCTGTTTGCAAAGGCCCTTTTCCGTTTTCTGTCTAGCCTTTATTTCCTTGCACAAGCAACGCTTTTTCTCAATCATCTCAAGCATTGTATGGTCTCCATGAAACCACTGCATGCATGCCACCTAGCAAAAAAGAAAGAGTGAATACAGAAGGAAAAGAAATGGAATGAAAGCAATTTTTTTTTGCACTGTGCTACTAGTTATTTAGAAAAATGAGCTGTTTCTATACCTCCTTCAAAAACTCTTAAAATTAATTAAGAAATGCAATCATTCTTACAAAACAAAAATAAAAGCATGGAAACTATAAAT